GGTGCGCGGCATTTTCGCCTCCTGGCAGGGGAAAAATTCAGAAAATACTGGACATCACAGGTCTCTGGTATTCTCAATTTTTTTACTAGACAGGAGGCGAAAATACCAGACTGTCTGGGTGAATACTGGACACCTGGCAACCCTATTAATTCAAACATAGAATTTATGACTACAGCAGCTCAACTCCCTTTCCCTCCTCTTACTCTATCCGTTATTTGCTTATTTCCATAGAGAGACAAATGCAGAGGGATAGCCTTGGAACCATCTTCCTAACCACTCTTGCTAGGAGGAAGACCAGAAGATGTGGAAGGAGAGGGAAGCTCAGTAGCTTTCTCCCAAGCTGGAAACAATAGTGATGGCTGTTGAAAAGCTTTTTGGCTGCCTCTCATGCTGGGAGGCAGATTCCTTCTGGTAGAAGAACTCCCCTGCACAGCAAGCACTGCTTAATGCAAGATGCCTGCCAATTGGGGTCCAGGTTGCCCGTGCACATAGTTTAGGGGGAATCTTGGTTTTTATCTTGCCAAGATTCAGGGGCTTAATTTAGAAATTTAAAAATATTTCAGATTCTTCTATTATTGCAGTATATTTGCATGAAGGATGATGTTGTGTTGTATCCTAAGAGCAGTCAGGTTTGGATCTCCTGTTAGAAGTTTAGCCTTTAGCAGCTATCTGCCAACAATCCTTTGCCTCCAGCTTCAATAAGCTTCATGATGGTCACTGATATATGAATCTTTCTTGGTAGATGCAGCTTTCTCAGTATAGCGTGGATGGATATAGGGTCTCTGAAATAGCAGAAGTCTCCTAGCAGTTTGTATAAACGATTTCTTCTCTTGTGCAAGCCATTTTAGCTGCACACTGCAAGTTCATTGAAAAACTGGTTTAAAACATTATGAAGCATGTGATTTCCCCCCCGCCCCCCCGCCCTGTCAGATTAAAACCAAATGTTACCAGAACTCTCCAAAACACTTTTCAGTGAGGGCTATTTTAATGACAAAATTCAGATTTCTTCTTCTTATAGTTAAAGCTATTCATGAAAAGTTACAAGATGTATATATGGGGAAGATTTATGCTTTTCCTCTTGCATCCTTTTTGTATTCAAAGGCAGCTTCAACAATTTTTTATTAAACCTCTTTAAAAAAAAATCTTCTGGCAAGACCAAATTTGGAAATTTCAACAAAATGTTAAATACCCTTTATACTATAATAAATCGGGTTGGAATTATTGCGGCATCTCAATGTCCAAGAATAGAAGACATGACACAAACGTAATTATAGTGGATACTGCTGCTCCTGCTACATATGTTGTCTGTCCATTCTAGCATTTATCATGCCATTGACTTTTTATTTCTGTTTCCCTGTGGCTTTCACCCTCAGTCCCACTTCAAGTAAATTCACAGTAGCTCAGTGCAGAGGTGAAGGATCATAAATCTGTGGCTTAGGTGTTCTTTCAATGATTTTTAAAGACTGAAGTGATTCCAGGTAATGCCATTAATGTAGTATCTTAGGGTACGTCTACACTAGCCCCCTCGTTCGAACTAGGGAGGCTAATGAGGGCGCCCTAAATTGCTAATGAAGCGCGGGATTTAAATATCCCGCGCCTGATTGGCATATTTCTGTCCGGTCGCCATTTTGGAAACTGACTAGCCCGAAGTAACTGCCCGTGTCTACACACGGCAGAGAAGCGGGATTTCGAGAGAAACCCCTTAGTTTGAATTAACTGTTAAACCTCATTCCATGAGGAGCAACAGTTAATTTGAACTAAGGGGTTTATCTTGGAATCCCACTTCTCTGCCGCGTGTAGACGCGGGCAGTTACTTCGGGCTAGTCAGTTTCCAAAATGGCGACCGGCCGGGGCTATTTAAATCCCGCGCTTCATTAACAATTTCAGTCGCCCTCATTAGCCTCCCTAGTTCGAACTAGGGGGCTAGTGTAGACGTACCTTTACAATCAACATATGCACCAGAAATTGCTCTTGGATGAAGTCCTGAGTTTTACCGTTGAGTTAATAAAGTTAAGATTTTACTCTTTAAAGTTTGTTTATTGTTACAGTGGTCTATGTAGATATATGAAGGCTATCCCCACCCAAAAAAAAAAGACCTTGTCTCTTCCTTTCGTCCTAATTTATTGCCCATATTTTATAAATTCTTCAGTACTCATAAGTTTGGTATTAAAATCTGTGCTATGAAGGTAACTTGAGCTAATTTGGGCTGTTGTCCAATATGTGCAGCTCTGCAGTTCTGTCATATGAACAGTGAGTGGGTCTGAGGTGTATTAAATAGGAGGCAAGGAAGAGGAATATTCATTTATAAATTAATACTACTTCAGTACTGTAAGTTTTATGTCTGTATAATTATGTGATTGTACTTTAAAATCGTTGAATATAATAAAATACAAGAGGGCCTTTTCTACCACAGTTCTGAAATTCAATCACTTTGTCCATTTTTTTTCTTTTTTTCCCCCTCTACAGAACAATTTTACAGATGGCCGATTGCAGCACAGTTATAAATCAGGCTTAGTACAGAAGGGTTTATATATTCAGGCTAAGTACCAGCGGCTACGTTCTGCTGGTGTAAGGGGATTTACCACTTATAAATTCAAAGAAGGATTTTTGAGGAAAGAAAAGGTGAGTCGGATTAAAATTAATTTTCCCTAAACTTTTTGTGTTATAAAATGTGAGTATCCAAATGGTCCATTGCTATTTTAGAATCCACGTGATGTTGTTTTTCTAGCTTGTATGGATATTCTTTGGAATACTAAACTGAAATTCTTCCTCTCCTCCCCCCTACTCCAGGAAACTTGATAACTGAGACTTTTAGTTGTTAGCTGTGGCCTTTAACATTGCTTCTCTTCTGAAATCTCAGTTTTGGCAATCTCCTCTGTAGTTCAGCTGAGCTGATTTTAAGTGGAAAAGCTAGTCCTTAATGTTTGATAACATCACAGCCTGATAGATTACAGCCCCTAGTTGTCTGAAGACTATTTAGTGTGTCCTTTCAAACAATTGTTAACTACATTCTGTTGTATAAATGTGTTGTTTTTCAGCACATTACCCAAGGATGTAAGCCAAATATTCAACTTAAAAATCATCTAATTCATATGCATTGGAGTGCTATATTGACAAACAGCGTACAGTAGGGGTTCTCAAACTTTGTGATACCACGACCCCCTAAAATGAAAAATGATTTTGTGTGACCCCCTCCCCCCCACTGCCCTGGGTCGCTTCCTCCCCCCTTCTCACCAGACTCCTTGCCCTCCTGGAGTTCCTTCAAGACATTTGCGGTCCTCAGTGCCCTCCCCCCTACATGCTCCTTCCCCCTGTCTTTCTCCTCTGTGCCTCTTTTCCACTCCGCATCCTTTTGGTTCCCTCCTCTCATCTCCTCTCCTCTGACCCCCACTTGCCCTTATTTACCTCCGGGTCCTCTGCCCCGACCCAGTCCGGCTGCCTGAAGGACCCTGCCCTCTCCCAGCTGGGGAACTGTTCAGTCACCTGGCAACCGTGCCTCAGCTGGCCCCTCGTGCATCCTCACCTGCACCAGCCTCACTCTCTCGCTGCCTTGCCTTCTCCTGCAGCTGAGCCATGCTCCTGGAGTCCTGCAGTCTCGGCCATGCTGCACGGCTTGCGGGCAGCTGCCTTCCGCTGCCCTGCCACTCTTTGTGGCCTGGGGGAGAGGGGTTGCAAGTGAAAAACCGAATCCAGCTGCGACCCCCCTCTAAGTTGCTCGCAACCTTCCTCCCCTCCGGGGGGGGGGAGGGGGGGTCACAACCCTCAGTTTGAGAAATGCTGCCCTACAGAGCAACGCATGCCCTTGTTTACATCGTTAGATGTACTGGGATATATTATATATATTCTTTGTGCATAAAAGGGAGACTGAAACTGCTTAAAGCAGGGATTGGATGACTTGAGTGAATAACTCAAAAAGTAATCCTGTTCTGTTCACTATCTCCCATATATCTGGCACCAGCCACTGTCAGAAGACTGGATACTGGGCTAGATGGACCCAGTATGGCCAGTGTTATGTTCTTAAATTTGGTATATTGGGGCATATCTAGACTACGCAGAACGGTTGAAAGAGGATATGCAAATTCCTTCGTCAAAAAGCCGTTTTTCCTCAAAAAAGGAGGTTTACGTGGCTTTTTGACCGGGGGCTTTGCCGAAAAAGCCTTATCTTAATTACTTTCACTTTCGAAAGCTCTGCTTTCAACAGTGCGATTGGAAGAAGATATGCAAATTTGCATATCTTCTTTCGACTGTTCCCTGTAGTCTAGATGAGTCCTTTAAGTATTTATATATTTGTTTATAAACTTACTTAATGGTACGACTTATGTTTTTAAAATACTCAAATGAGTGGTAGCACTCTACAGAGTTGTGTGCTATGGAAAATGGAGAATTGTTGGGGTACCCTGAATTGCTAAGGTCTGTCATCAGTATATTTGTAATTTTGACAGGGAATAGTCTGACATAATTAGGAGTGTCCATGTTATAATAACTTTGTAGGGTGCACGGGACAACACTGTTGTAGCACCTGATGGAGTATCATGTTGCAGCTATTGTAGAATCATGTCAGGAATACTATAAGGATTAGTAACAAATAGGGGACCTGAGTATTACCATAGCATCCTAAAGGTCCTATTTGAACAGCCTTAGCATAATCTAAGATGTATCTTCATTACTTGTTTTGTAACCATGGTGTCTGTTAAATGTGCCAGGCAAATGTTTTTGGCATGGTAAAGTTAATGATGTAGATAAAGTCTGAGTGTGCTGCAAAGGCAGTACACTGGAAACAGGTTGTGCTTCTCACATCACCAAACTGTCCTGACCATTCCTTTTTAAGATCTCTGATGAATACCACATATGCTTTCTAGATGGAAAAAAAATGACTAAAAGATCAATTCAGAAGGATTCCATATTCTGAAAATTATAAACTTGTGCTATAAAACAAATGTACAGTTGTTTCACTGTAACCACAGGGCAGTGACATCTATTTGCTAAGTATCTTATTGCTATTTTACACTTGAATGCTAGAAATTCTTGTCTAAAATCCATTAAAATAGTCTTCATAAAATTTGGCTGCTAAAAGTTATAGCATGAATCTTTGATCAGTATAATTAGGCTTTTTTAAATATTAATTGTATAACCAATAAAGAAATCTAATATCTCTCCGTCACAGCAAAATAAATACTGTATCAAAATACAGGAAAACCACTTAACTAGCTGGAAAACTTTAGAAACGGGCAAATTTCTGAGCTGAGCAGAAAACTTGTTAAAAGCAAAAAAAAAAAAAAAAAAAAGAAAGAAAAGGAAACTGGAGCTTTGAGCCAGGCTGCTCCTCAGATGCTCTTTCCCCACCCCTGCCAGATGTGCATGCAGCATGTACCTGGGGGAGGGGCGAAT